AAACGTTAAACCTAGTCAAAGCAAGCATAACCACAACATTTGTGGGTTGGCACACAAGAGACTAGGGCATGGCAAGTCATAGACTTGGTATAAGGGATAGAAACAGGATAGACGCGGCGGCGATTGGATCTAGTTGGCTGACAGTAGGTTTTATATGAGACGTGGTCCATGTGGCAAAGGCGTAACCATGACACTTACTCAGAGGGATTAGCCTAGAATTAGTCACCCAGATGCAGGTGAGGGAGAATAACTCCTCGAGTGGCACAGATGGGGTGGCAGGGGTCGAGTAAAATATGTGAACCAGAGAGAGGGCAGACGGATATTACGGGGCAAGAAAGAGATTGTGATAAGACCTAGGGGAGGAGGATTGCGTAACAATATGGCAGACTGTAATCAACATTCTCAGCACAAGGGTGAAGGGGGTGAGAACGAGAGTGTGGAGTGTCAAGGGTTTTCATTAGTGCCGCTCAAAGAAACACACCCCACTACATCTAAATAGGCACGGTAAAAAAAATTTGTGACAGTGAAGGCGTGATACGAGGATATAGGAAATGCAAAAGGAGAGATACCATAGCTGTTTAGCACACGTTTTGTCAAAGGATAGGCTTACTTGTCTTTTTGACGATTTGTTGTATGGTGCTAAGAGTGGCGATACTCACTGACGATGCCGGCGAAATGTCTGGGAATGTACCACGTCCACGGTCAAACTTTGGAAATGATTATGCATAAAATGGACTCCGGGCTAGATGCGTTACTCTAAGTCTTCCTACCAATATGACCAAGTTGCTTAAACAAGGTCAAACAACTTCTCAATATAAAACAACCCGTTAAGGTTCATGAGCGTGATACCTACTTAACTCCTATACAGACTGAATTTTGCTTGTTAGAGAGACTTGTTTCGTATGAAATAGTATGAAGAAGAGATTGCAAGGTCGATCTCTGATTCCCGTCGTACTTCAGCTATTTGACTTTGATTCAAAGTTCCGGTTCGCGCAGCTCACGAGAAATCCTCGTTTCGAGTGAAAACGGGTTTAGCTGGAACTCATTCTTGTAAAAGTCTAACGTTAACACTAGGTCAAGAGGACTATCCGGTTACATCTTACTTTTTACATAGGCCCAATTAAGCAAAATAAAATTGATAGGCATATATAGGTATGGAATGTCTTGGTTAATTATCTTTCCTATTGATCCTGCTACTTTTGCTCGAGCGCATGTGTATGTTAACGCATATACGCATATACGATCCTACATCAGAGTGATCAAAAAAGATAATGCTAGGCTCTGGTCATCAAGGCTTAGTACGCCAAGAAAAAGCCGAGATCGTAAGTATGGTTGAGATAATGAGATGTACGTTTGTAAGCGTGTAAATCAGGTTACGAAACCACGTCATAACCTCTCATTCTATGGTCATTAAGGCCTAATCACCCAAGAAAAGGTATGATTATACCTGTGTAATCTCGTACGTTTGATTTGGTTAATGAGTTTAATTTAACATGTTCAACAAGTGTGAGTAAAGTTAGAACGTTCACTGAGCGAGCAAGTTGAATCGCCTTCCTTTGGTTGGCGGCTCAACACCCTCTCTCCTTCAATCTATCAATCCAGTATAAGTAGGCCTTACTTAACCTTCTATCAGCATTCATTGCATTAAACGTATTCCCTAATCCAGTGGTTCCCAAACTTTTCCTAGTCGCGGCGCCCTTTTTCAATTAAAATTTTTC